CTCTCCAGAAGGTGAGTGGAAAATACGGAAGATTCACGTTGATCGTTTGCTAAGGAAAATTGCGTCTTCAGTTCACAAGGCTCTCAAGCACGAGGCCATATGAGCACAGTAAGCAGGTCACGTGTTTTCCGACGCTGCCGGTGATTAGTATTAATATGCATTTGTCAAGCAATCAAATGCAAATTTTGGCAGTTTCAGACTACTTCAGCTGACGCTGCAGTGGTTTGCTCGGTCCAAAGACCACGCAATGCATGCGCTTGGTTTACGAGCGACAGAGCAGCAGTGGCTCACTACTGTAATCTCCGGCCTCTTGTTTATTCAAGGAGCTCTCAGTTCCACGTGCACTCGGCCTGGACATAATAGGATTATTCCCAGAACGTCGTCCCGACATCGCCGCCCGGGATTTGGTAACTATCTCTCCCCGCACCCTTCGGCAATTTCCTTTTGTTTCCGGATCTGGCAGCCCACGCCCGAGGGCCTTCATTCATGCCATTCGATTTCGCATCCTCTGCTTAAGTAACGCTGAGCCGTATGGCTAAGATGATTATCAGAGCGTCTGATGAGAGCTCTTTGAGTGGTTCCCCGCCTCCTCCTGCTCGGGAGATATGCAAATTAATCGGGCGTTTGTTTCACTCCGGCCGCCACTCGAAGGTGGATAACGACAGACGATGCCGACTGAGGTGAGCTAACAAAGCCAATTCAGCGCCGCCTCGCAGCCCCGCTCGCTCGCGAGTTTGAAAATAATTGCATCATTTGCACCGCTTCGCCCGAGCTGGAATGGTTGAACCGCTCGCCCCACTTGCGTCCTCTAATGAGCTGTGATCCCGCGCCGGCGGATCCCGCAGGAAAAATGTATCTGTCGAGGCGACAAACGACCGGGCGGCGACGAGCCGCCGCCGAACGCTGGCGACTCGACGCCATAATCCGCCCGCTCATCGCAGCCGATAGACGGTGGAGAGCGGCAGACGCGTCGCCGTGGCAACGCTGCTGGCCGACCGCTGCCAGGGATTGGCAGCAGACGACGGGCCTGGCCCATCACCCACCGCATTAGTATCCGGTGGGAGATGGGCGGTATCCGCTGGGGCGTCGCCACCACTGCCAACGGACTACCTGCGCGAATAGTGCGGGAGCTGAGCCGAGGGGTTCCAGGTATCTGGCTCATCTTTTCAGCTGCTCACCCTCCCAGAATATCGTCACTTGTCTGTCATCCTTTATAATACTAATCCGCAAGTCAGGCCCACCCTCATCCTACAAACATTGGGACACACTTCTCGGTGCATCTTGCCCAGCATATTCGAATGTTTCATCAAACAATGCACCATGTGACATGCGTGTGGCAGCACCCCACATCATGAGACATACCGATCCGGAAACCGACCTTCGTACTTAACTATCGACTACCTCATCCACCCTTGCGACTTTCTTGCATTGCACATTGACGACTCTGTGAAGGCTGCCACCATCCAACTCATCGACTTTCCTCAGGCTGTCCACCTGGGTACTGTTCTCTAGGGGTGAACGACATTTACTGAGGTAGCAGCCTATGACATCACAGGCAAGTGCATTGGACGTCCTAGGAAGAGAGTGGCATGTCCAAAGATGAGGAACAACTATAAGCAGCTGATTCAGTCCGCGGAGGCATATAAGGCGCAACAAGGGAGCTTCTGGATTTCAGCACGGCGGACAGTAATCGCAACGTGACGCGTTTACAACATCGCCATTGATCACACTACATGTGATCAAGCGCCGCCCATTTGTCCGACAAAGACGACCGCCAACACGCACCGGTGCAAGGCGTTACCCGGTAAACAACCACGACTCACCACACTTGCTTCGCCATCCGGCTAAGAAAGGAATGGATCTCGGCAGCGACGAGCAGGTGGGCCAGTTCGCTACGTCAGAGGTCACATGAGCTCATCCGAAGTGAATGGGCCTCCAATTGTGAACGAAGAGCGGAACGTTGGCCAACCACGACACTACTCAGACACTTCTGGAACGGCATGCTCGGCTCCCCACCGTACAGACGGTGGTCAGCTTCCTCTGAGGTCGACGGCATGTCATCCCAATCAGGGAACCTACTCGACCGGTATGGAGCCCGCCTTAACTGTGTTAAGCAGCACGTGCGCGCCGCCACGGGGCACCAGGGTCGCACTGGCTGCATTCCTCATTACATGCGTGACCGTGCTCCGAGTGAAGAGTGGCTGAGGTGCAGCCAGTCAAGCGGCCGCAGCTCGGCTAAGTAGCCTACGGCATGGAGAAGGATACACTGAATGGACAGTATTGCTAGAAGTACGTTGAAAATCTGAGCATTGAAGTACTTGCCTTCAAAGAATGTTAGCTTCCGTTTAAGAAGAACAGATAGACGCCATATCTCTCTAAGCATGTGTCAACAACGCGGCATGAAATTTGACGACAACCATGCTATAAACTGACATATTTTGTTTTTTATGAACATGATTGAATAAGCACTGAATAAACAGTATCGCTAGAAGTATGTTGAAAACCTGAGAATTGAAGTACTTGCCTTCAAAAGATGCTAGCTTCTTTTAAGGAGATCAGATAGACGTTGTATTTTTCGAAGCATGTGTTAACAACGTGGCATGAAACTTGACGGCAAAGATGCTATAAACTGGCATGTTTTTTACATAAACACGACACTTAAACTTATCCAAGTTGTTGCAGTGGCTGGTGCCGAAATGGAGACGACCATCAGCTTTGTTTACATGTCTTTGATGCTGTCAATAAAGCTGCCAGGCGTACATATCGCTTCGGACTTAAAATGAGCACTCCCGTGAAAACTACAACACCCGTCGCCAGCTCTCAAACCATCCCAAGTGCGTCAGGTTCACGTAGACCTGGACGACAATCGTGCCATCTAAATCGGCTTCGTTTGGTCAGCTCCCGGAGGCTGCATCCTGCCACGGCAGTCTAATCCAGCACAGACATAAACGAGATCGAGCGCGTGCAGCCGGTATATCTGCGGTCACTATGGCAGATCACAGCATCTGTGGTCGAGCCGCCGCGCAGGCTGCCATCCAGCCTTTGCTATAGAACCTCGAACCAGACCGCGCAGCTGCTCCCCGCCAATTAGCTAGCTCCGCCCGTCCACTGCGCCCGAGCGGACGTATCTCAGGAGAAGCGCGTGGCCTACACGAACATGGGTGTTATGGTACCGCATACGGGCACCGAATGATCTAGGAAGTGCCTTGTTCGTCTTGATAAGGCTCATGAGTTCCGTGCATACCGTACCCGTTTTTAAATTGCTCATACTTAATATGTATAGAATGTGTCAATGTGCGGTGTTGTGTAGGTGGTAGATCGTTGACCACCCTTTGACCGCATTCGTTTGTGCATGCCACTTTTGTGTAGGCACGCACGAATGCTTCTAAGTGTCGTCCCGCTGCTGTTGCTAGCAGCGGAGGTCTGCGCGGCGTGATCTGATCTGCGGTTATTTAGTGACTTTACACGGGCGGTATCATGAGCAGTTCTGGAGAGGTCTGCGCGGCGTGATCTGATCTGCGGTTATTTAGTGACTTTACACGGGCGGTATCATGAGCAGTTCCGCGCAGATCTGCGCGGCGTGATGTGATGTGCGGTTATTAGGTGACTTTACACGGGCGGTATCGCGACCAGTTCTGGGCAGATCTGTGCGGCGTGATCTGATCTGCGGTTATCAAGTGCCTTCACACGGTTCTGTTCATCAGAGCGGTTCTGTGGAGGTCTGCGCGGCGTGATCTGATCTGCGGTTATTTAGTGACTTTACACGGGCGGAATCACGAGCAGTTCTGGAGAGGTCTGCGCGGCATGATCTGATCTGCGGTTATTTAGTGACTTTACACGGGCGGTATCATGAGCAGTTCTGCGGAGGTCTGCGCGGCGTGATCTGATCTGCGGTTATTTAGTGACCTTACACGGGCGGTATCATGAGCAGCTCTGCGCAGATATGCCAGCGTGATCTGATCTGCAGCTATTTAGTGACTACACGGGCGGTATCGCGAGCAGTTCTGCGGAGGTCTGCGCGGCGTGATCTGATCTGCGGCTATTTAGTGACTTTACACGGGCGGTATCACGAACAGTTCTGCGGAGGTCTGCGCGGCGTGATCTGATCTGCGGTTATTTAGTGACTTTACACGGGCGGTATAATGAGCAGTTCTGCGGAGGTCTGCGCGGCGTGATCTGATCTGCGGTTATTTAGTGACTTTACACGGGCGGTATCATGAGCAGTTCTGCGGAGGTCTGCGCGGCGTGGGCTGATCTGCGGTTACTTAGTGACTTTACACGGGCTGCCCACGCGTCAAATTCCCGGCGTCGCTTTCTGGCGACAGCTGCGTCATGTCAGTCATGTCAGTCCGCGCGCTGCAGCAGACGACGGCGGCTCGGACCAGGTTACGTAACGGCGGCAGCGTCCTGCAAGCCGGCCGTGTTGGGCGAGCTCCCCCTTCCCCCCCCCCCTCATTCCCACCAGAGGAGGGAGGGGGAGGGAGCTCCGGGGGCTAGGCGCGTGTGGCGCCGGCGCCTCACGCGCCAAAGCCGGGCGCCAGTGAGCACCGGCCCCGCGACAGTGCTGCCACGCGGCGGGCCTGTGACGCGCCTCGGTCAGGGTCAGGGTGAGCCTTTCTTTTCGCCGAAGGCACTGAACCCGGGCCGCCTAGCACCACACTGCACCACGACCGCTGCAGAGCGAGAGCCGCAGGATCTGCGCAACTCCCACAGGACTGCAGGCGTGGCGCGCTGCACGGCGCAATACCACTGAGGCAGAACAGGGCCTGTAGGGCATTCTGATGAAAACAGCAACAATCAACGTCTCTTGACGGATGCAGTTGCAGGACAGCAAGATCAGGACATGACCTGTGTTTTGGTCCCATTGCAATGCGTCACGAGACTTGTTTTTTCATCACCCTACGGCATGATAGAGACCGCGTCTGGTGACATACACATTGGGTGAGTAGATGCGAAGGCTGCGCAACCGCGAAACAAAACTGATTGCGGTAGACAGCGAATGGAAGGGTTGTTGAATGTATTACCCCCACACGCCGACGATACAAAAATAGTCAGATCAAGAAGCAACAGACACACGCACACGAATCGCACATGCGAAATGACGTCAATGCCCATCGCCCACCGCGCAGCCATTCGAAGAGCCTGTCACCACCGGATATCATATGCCCTTCCGATGTATAGTTCAGATTTCACTGGCACGCTCTTGGGTCAAGTAGGCGGAACCCGGGGTCAGGTATCGACCTCATCCGCTCATATCACTGCAGTGTGAGTCATCCAACACGTGCGCTTACCATGTAAAATGCCCATGCTGCGCGCGGGCAGAATGCTGCATGTTGTCCAGCCTACAATGTTGAGCTTGCTGTGCTGGCCACTCGCCGAACGACAAGCACGAGAGAGTCCCTAAAGCCGCATACTGCCAAGAGTCCCTAAAGCCGCATACTGCCACATCAGCTGACGGCATGTCACATAGCATGGCCCTGTCAGCTGACGGTATGTCACGAGTCATGGCCCTTTCAGCTGACGGTATGTCGCGTGTCATGGCCTTTTCAGCTGACGGTATGTCACGTATCATGGCCCTGTCAGCTGACGGCATGTCACGTGTCATGGCCCTGTCAGCTGACGGTATGTCACGTATCATGGCCCTGTCAGCTGACGGCACGTCACGTGTCATGGCCCTTTCAGCTGACGGTATGTCACGTATCATGGCCCTGTCAGCTGACGGTATGTCACGTATCATGGCCCTGTCAGCTGACGGTATGTCACGTATCATGGCCCTTTCAGCTGACGGTATGTCATGTGTCATGGGCACGTCGCCTGCACGTCACGCCACGCCAGCGCTGGAGAGCCGCGCGGAACACACGAGCCGCCTCGTCACCCGCGGGGACCGCCGCCGGGACCGGGCGCCCTATCCTCCGACAATCCGACGGCAACACACCGGCCGAGAGGGGAGTATGGGCTGCAGGCTGAAGGCGGCCGGAGCCGCAGGCTGAAGGTAGCTGGAGCCGCGGGCTCGCCCGCCCGCCACCGACGGCCGAGCGGCGCTGGCGGCGCGACGGAGCCTGCTGAGGCGTCGCCAGCTGGCCAGCCCGTCTGGCCCGACAGACGGCAGCCGTCGGTGCGCCAGACTTGAACAGAGCGGCGCGCTGGCGCGTCGGACCGCAGCACCGACGTCTGGCGGTCTGGCACCAGCCCCGTCCGACGGCCGGTCAACACGGGTACCGCCCGACGCTGCTGCCTCCGGAACCACGGCCGTGCCTGATATGCAGAGTCCAGCCGCGCGCCAGATGGAGGCGGCAGGGTCCAGCTGCGCGCCAGACGGAGGCGGCAGATTCCAGCTGCGCGCCAGACGGAGGCGGCAGAGTCCAGCTGCGCGCCAGACGGAGGCGGCACACTGCCGGATAGAGCCTCCTGGTCCTGAGCTACACTGCCGGCTAGAGCTTCCTGGCCCCCAGCTTCATCGGACCTTTCCGCGCGGCTCGCTTGGCCTCTAGCTCCTTCTGTCGCTGCTGTCGCCGTTCTTGCATCGCCGACTTCTTGTCTTGCTCGCCACCGGTGCCTGAAAGGCGGGGAAATAGTGCTGAGTCTGAAAGCGGTACCAACAATGTCAGCACGACAGCTTTGTCGAGTCAGCACTCGCCGCTGACGTATGTACCCTGCGGGCAACTATGCACAGCCGATGTTTCCACAGATCTGCCCCCTCCCCTCCCCTCCATCCCCCACGTCACACGTGTTCCATCCCTCCACAGCCTATACCAGCGCTGAGCTGCCCCGCCCCAGCCCGTGTCATGTCCGCCGACCCGTTCCTCCGCAATCCATATCGGCACTCACCCGTCCCTACACCACCCATGTCACCCCAGTCCGAGTTGTCCCAGCCGCCGCCGAAGTCGGCCGCCGCGCCAGCTGACGACGCCGTGACGTCAGCGGTGGGCATGGCTTTGCGCTGGCTCTGTCGGGCAGGTCCAAGCATGTATCGGGTGTACACGGCAGTCAACGGAGTTCTCAACACCAAGTGTAATACGCTTTATGCACGCATGAAGCGCTTGTGATCATGCCCTGTGCACACATGTCTTCAGCAAACGAAGCGTGCGCAACTACAGACACACAAACGATCGCACTTGTCTGTACAGCTCAACTGCAACTGTGGTCACTATCTCCTCAGGCCACCTGCTCCCTATTCCGTCAGGTCGCGCGGGTCAGACTCCTCCGCCTCTCCAATGGCGCAGGTCGTTACTCGTCGGCACGACCATCCGCCGCCACGCCGCGCCGGCCACCCACCGTCTGTTTGGTGGGCACGGAGGCGAAGGGGTCCTCCACGGCACCAGCGTCGGCCCAGCGGATCTCGGAGAGGGGCCTCGTGTCCGGCTCGGCGGTTACCGGGCTGAACTCGTCCTCCTGCCACGAGTCCCAGCCGTCCGAGGGGTTCGATGGCACGGCCGACGGCTCCTGAGGACACGGTCACTGTCAGCTGATTGCGCCTGCTCCAGGCACTCTTGGGAGGCACTCCTGCACTCTTGCGGTACTCTTGGGAGGCGCAGGGACAGCGGCCCGTCCGAGCACAGCGATACTGGAGTTATACACAACGGCCCATGCTCGCCATGTGTCAGCACGGCGCCGTACGTGACGTCACGGACACGCCACTCTTCACCTGTCATTCGTGCCGCAAACACAGCGCATCACAGTGGACCTTCCCACCAGTGTACGCCTCTGTGAATGCACGGGATCAGGCGGCTGCCACTGCGGCCTGACGGCGCCGCACCAACAAGACATAATTCCTGTGGCCATGTCGCGGCGCGCAGCACCAGTCCCGTCCCGTCTCAGCACGCTGGCGACGAGAGCCAGCCGGGCCCGTGCTCCGCCGCCACTGACCGTGGCCGGCGCGGGCTCCTCCAGCGAGCCCCAGTCCTCGTCGTCCCAGCCGTCCGAGGCGTCTGCCATCGGCGAGGTGTCCTCACCACCACCACCGCCGCCGCCACCGCCGCCGCCGGACTGGAGGGACGGAAAGCAGTCAACAAGGGCAGGATGGGGGAGGGGGAAGGGACAATGAGCAGTTGGCACAGCGAGACCACCTCTTCCTACACCGGACGGGAGGGACACGGACCTCAGTCGATGCAACCAGACAAATACCTCCAGCGTCGCCGCAGCGGCCGAACAGTGGAACTCACTGGACACGACACGACCTGGCAGAACAGACAAGGTCGGTGAGCAGAGCCAGACCAGCCCACGGACTGACGGAGAAGGAGGTCCGTCAACACAACCTGACCAGCGTCTCCAGCACGGTTGAGCGGCACCACCCCAAGAATGATGCGACAGCTGTCTGCACACACAACCAAACAGCCAGACGGAGATCAGGTGGCAGAGCCAACCCATTCCCGGCGCGACGCCATTACCACTGCAACACCGCTACTGGACCCGTGTGACGATGGAGGTCAAGAGAACAACACCAGTGCCTCCGACGCCCCCACACCTCAAACAGCACACCAGGGCCGATACAGACGTGTCTCTCGACGTGTACGTACGGCTGCAGTGTCCGCACGAGCTACCTACCGCCAGCTGAAACGCAAGAATCGAAAGCGGACCTAATTCGCGATCACAGACGCCACACAGACGCCACGTCGTGCTATGCCCCAGACGCGGGCCGTGACCCGTTCCCCGTCCCTCTGTGGGGTGTCCCGGCCAGGAGACGTCCCTGTCCCTCGGCTGAGAGCCCCCCCCCCCCCCCCCCAGGAGCCGTCCTCGTCCCTCCGCGAGCGTCCCAGACCAGCGCCTCACCTCGGCCGGCGGTGGGCGGCTCGGCAGGATCTGCCCCCGTGACGGCTCGGCGGCGGCGGCGGCGGCGGCAGAAGCCGGTGCCTCCGAGCTCCCGCCGGAGTCTGCGGAGTACAGTGCGGTCAGCGCACAGCGCAGTCAGCGCACAACACACAGCGCACAGCGCACAGTCAATCGCAGCCGGAGGAAGGCACACAACGACAGACACGCAGCCACGTAAGCCTTATGATGGTGTGGACGCTGACATGGGCGGTGCGGGTTTGGTCAAAACACGGGCCGTCCAGAATCGTCTCAGAAATAGCCTGAAACAGAGAAACTCCGGGACTCCTGCCCAAGCGAAAAAAGGCCGAGTGGGACAGAGGAAATGGTGTGTCATCTGCGAAAAACCATCCTCGCCACGCCAACGGCAGGTCACTTCAGGTCACCTGAGGCCCCGTCAGGTACCACAGATGTCAGGACCGATCCCATACCCTCGACTGCCTCAAAACGAGGACCTCAGAGCAGGAAAATGCGAGGTGCTTAACCACATTCCTTGCTCCACAGATGTCATATCGCTATTGGCAGAAGCCCACACCAACGAACAAGACATACTCTACTCTCAGCACGAGACAATGGGCCACGATGGACGACATGCGCAAAATCCCGCACACTGCTCCTGCAGAGGTGCCACGGCCGACCCTCATGAGAACGGGCGAAAGCGCCATAGCTGGCGCGCAAATCCCCGCGAGTAAACTAAAGCCCCATCATTTCCGCCAGACAGTGAATCAGTCCCCAAATCCACCCGAGCGAAGGATGGTGCAGCGGGAACAGTCCAGCCCCGGTGCGGCACCACCAGCCATGTCACATCCTGTGATGCTCGCTCCGGCGACCAAGAGGCCATTACGCGGAGACCAACTGGAACCGTTACACAAGCAGCCGGGCGGAGTTTTTGTCCGTCATTACGGCGGCGGTCGGGTTTACCGGGCTCACCTCCCGAGGCAGGCGATGGTGGTATAGTGGTGAGCATAGCTGCCTTCCAAGCAGTTGACCCGGGTTCGATTCCCGGCCATCGCAATCAGGCGTTTTGTGCTGTACACAAACGCTAAGAATAACGCACAGGACAATGAAGCCCATGCTACGAACAGAGTTGGGAGCTTAACCAATGCTTTAAGTCAATGCTTAACCCCCAATTCAGGACAAGAGACATCAGGGGGCCAGTTGTCCTGTATGGCATTATGTGGGGTTGTGAGGCTGTATAGGGTTACGTGGGGTTGTGTGGGTTTACATGGGGTTGTGTGGGCTTGTGTGAGGCTGTGTGGGATTGTGTAAGGTTATGTGGGGTTTTATGTGGGGTTGTGTGGAATTGTGTGGGGTCGTGTGATGTTCTGGGAGATTGTATGGAGATTGTGTGGGGTTGTGCGAGGTTGTGTGGGGTTGTGTACGGTTGAGTGGGGGTCTGGGGGATTATATGGGGTTGTGTGGGGTTGTATAGGTTTGTGTGGCGTTCTGGGGAGTATGTGAGGTTATGTGGGTTTGTGTGGGGTTGGGTAGGATGATGTGGTGTTGCGTGGGGTTATGTGGAGTTGCCTGGGAATCTGTTGAGTTGTTGTGTTATTGGGGCTTTACGACGCACTCGGCTGCTAAGGCTACATGGCGTCGCCCGCCTCTCACCCTGGCAGGAGGGGCGGGCACCGCGGTGAATCGAACCCCGCACCTCTGGATTCCCAGACGCGTAGTGGTTAACGTAGGCGCGTTAACCACTACACTACCGACACCCCTTTGTTGAGTTGCGTGAGGTTGTGCGGGCTTGTGTGTGCTCATGTGGGCTCGTGTGGGATTGTGTGTGCTCGTGTGGGCCCGTGTGAGCTCGTGTGCGCTCGTGTGTGCGCATGTGGGCTAATATGTGCTCGTGTGGGGTTGCGTGGGGTCGTGTGGGCTCATTTGGGGTCGTGTGGGGTCGTGTGGGGTTGTCTGGGGCCTTGAAGAGACTTGCAGTTTCTTGCGGGGTCTTAATGGGCTTTGGGTATGGGTATTATGGGGTCTTGTGGGGTTTTGTGAAGTCTTCTGGGGCATTGTGGGGTATTGTGGAAGGACGCTGGCCTTTTCTTGTCCTGCCCGACGTGGACAGATCCCATGTGACCTGGCCTGACTTCAGCAAGCTTAAACCCCTGTGCAAGGCCCCCACACCAGATAAAACCAGATGAGACCAGCCTAAGCAAAACCAAACCAAACCAAACTAGACTAAACTAGACCAAAACAAACCAAAACGGACCGGACAAGAGGAGACCACACTAAACCAGGCTAGAACAGATTAGGTCAGTTCAGGTCATTATCTACTGCCCTGTGGCTTCAGGCAGTTGTCTAAGCTCGATTACGAAGGTCACCGTATGCAGGGCACGTACATTCTGGTCTAAGTCTAGTCAGACTAATCAAATCAGAGAAGATCAGGTCACATCAGACTAGATGAAGCCAAGCCAGACGCAGATGGCGGGCAAAGCATGGCAAAGCCTCGCTCTGGTCATGGTGTTAGTAAGTGCCATACGAGACGTGTTCGTTAGATTGTTTTGTTTCCGAGTCATCCCCGACTACGGAGTTCATTCGGTACCTCATTTCTAGCATTCAGGATATTGGGTTGCAAATAAAACGGTCGATGCGATGGCCGGGAATCGAACCCGGGTCAACTGCTTGGAAGGCAGCTATGCTCACCACTATACCACCATCGCCTGCCACATGTCTGGAACTCGGTAATTCCGACCGCCGCCGTGATGACCGACAAATATTCCCGGCCGGTGGCTAGCCTAGCCTAGCTATACCTCGCCTCAGCTGCCTCGCCCTACGCTGCCCTGCCCAATTCAGTTCTGTCCCGCTCCGTTCCGTTCCGTTCCGTTCCGTTCCGTTCCGTTCCGTTCCGTTCCGTCCCGTTCCGTTCCGTTCCGTCCTGTTCTGTTCTGTTCTGTTCTGTTCTGTCCTGTACTATTCTGTTCTGTCCTGTGCTGTGTCTTACTGTGCTGTGCTGTACTATGCTGTGCTGTGCTGCATTGCGCTGTGCTGTCCAGCTCTATCCTCCCCAGACCAGACCACATCAGATCAGATCAGACCAGACCAGACCAGACCAGCCCTGCCCTGCCCTGCCCTGCCCTGCCCTGCCCTGCCCTGCCCTGCCCTACCCTGCCCTGCCCTGCCTCGATCTGAACCCATCCGATGTGGCCTGGCCAAACCTGATTGAGCTTAGACCTCTCATGTATAGGAGCCACACCAGATGAGACTCGATTACACCAGCCCAGACTACACTATAGTATACTAAACCAGGCCAGACCACAACAGACCGGACCAGACCAGGCAAGACCACGTCATACTCTAGTATCTAGTGGTTTTAGATGGTTGGCGAAGGTCGATCACGTAACCTACGGTTATAAAGGGTACGTAAAGTATGGTCTGGTCCAGTCAGGCCAGGTCAGATCAGCCAACATTAGGTCACATCAGATGAGGTGAGGCCAAGCCAGGTACGTATGGCGGCAAGGCAAGGGAAAACCTCGCTCGTATGGCCATGGCGTTAGTAAGCGAGATAAGAGTCGTGTCCGCTCGATTCTATTGTTTCCGAGCCATGCCCGACTACGGGCTTTGTTCGGTACCTCATTTCTAGCATTCAGGATGTTGGGTTGCAAATAAAATGGTCGATGCGATGGCCGGGAATCGAACCCGGGTCAACTGCTTGGAAGGCAGCTATGCTCACCACTATACCACCATCGCCTGCTGCGTGTGTGGAACCCGGTAATTCCGACCGTCGGCGTGATGACCGACAAAAATTGCCTCCCGGTGGCTAGCCTAGCCTACCTATACCTCGCCTCGGCTGTGCTGTGCTGTGCTGTGCTGTGCTGTGCTGTGCTGTGCTGTGCTGTGCTGTGCTGTGCTGTGCTGTGCTTGCTGTGCTGTGCTGTGCTGTGCTGTCCTGCCCTGCCCCGTCCTATTCTGTTCTGTTTTGTCCTGTGCTGCGCCGTGCTGTGCTGTGCTGTGCTGTGCTGTGCTGTGCTGTGCTGTGCTGTGTACTGTGCTGTGCTGTGCTGTGCTGTACAGTACTGTGCTGTGCTGTACTATACTATACTATACTATACTATACTATACTATACTATACTATACTATACTATACTATACTGTACAGTACTGTACTGTACTGTACTGTACTGTACTGTACTGCACTGCACTGCACTGCACTGCACTGCACTGCACTGCACTGCACTGCACTGCACTGCACTGCGCTGTACTGTGCTGTGCTGTCCTATCCTGCCAAGACCTGTCCCGCCTTGCCTCGATCTGAGCCCATCCGATTTGACCTGGCCTAATCTGATCGAGCTTAGACCCCTCATGTAAAAGCGCCATACCAGATGAGACTCGATTACACCAGCCTAGGCTATACTGTGCTATATAATAGATCAGACCAGACCACACCAGACCAGTCCAGACCAGACCAGACCAGACCAGACCACACCAGACCAGACCGAACCAGACCAAACCAGACCAGACCGAACCAGACCAAACCAGACCAAACCAGATTAGGCCAGGCCATGCCAGGCCACGTCATGTTCTAAGGCCAGATGAGAACAGATCAGGTGAGGCCAAGCCAGGTACAGAGGGCGGCACGGCAAGGCAAAACCTCGCTGGTGCTGACATGGTGGTTCGTACGCGAGATAAGAGACGTGCCCGTTGGATTGGATTGTTTCCGAGTCATCCCCAACTATGGGCTTTATTCTATGCCTCATTTCTAGCATTCGGGATATTGGGTTGCAAATAAAACGATCTATGCGACGGCCGGGAATCGAACCCGGGTCAACTGCTTGGAAGCCACCTATGCTCACCGCTATACCATCATCGCCTGCTACATGTCTGGAACTCGGTAATTCCAACCGCTGCCGTGATGACCGACACAAGTTCCTGCCCGGCGGCTAGCCTAACTTAGCTATACCTCGCCTCGGCTGGGCTGCCCTGCCCTACCCTGCTCTGCCCTGCGCTGCCCTGCGCTGCGCTGCCCCGCCCTGCCCCGTCCAACCCTGCCAAAACCTGCCCTGCCGCGCCCTGCCCTTTCCCTTGCTCTTGCTCTTGCTCTTGCTCTTGCCCTGGCCCTGGCCCT